GCATTCCCTGTTTCCTATACCCCCCCCCTCCCCCCAACAACATGGAAATTAAATGTTAAAAAAAACTTTCCATTTTTATTACACACCTTATTATAGACCCATTAATGTCATCTCTGGGTCTCTGTGCTTCTCTATGCAATGCAGGCAGATCATGGCTGGTGGGAGGTGCCTGTAGGGTGATGTACATAACTTCCTGAAAGCCTTAGTACTCCTCTCAAGAGTCCTCAGCCCTGATGATGCCTGTTCCAATGCCTTCAGTCCAGTCATGTGATGCTGCTGGATCTTCTGAGTGCAGTCAGCCTGATAGGGATCGGTAAAACCTGGAAGACTGAAGGCATCTGGTGGCCAAAAAGAGGTACTGCAGGGGTGGACAACTCAAGATTGAAGGTGCGTTTTGCAGCCCGTGTTGCTTTTGTTTTTTACACCCCGGTCACATCAAGGCAGACTTTGAAATCGCGGGGGACTTACATTGAAGCGGCACAAATTTCAAAATCGGATGACATGCCGATTTGAGGAGCGATTTGCATAGACATCAGACACAGATGTCTATACAAATCGCACTAAAAGTAGTGCATGTACTACTCTGGAAATCGGTGCCCTTCTGACCAAGTCGGAGGCGCACCAATATGACCGATGTAATTGTGGACAATAGGGTGCAACTTGGCATGCGATTTGCAAGTCGCAGGGCATGCATATTGCATGCCAAGATGCACCAGATGTGACTGGGGTGTTAACCACTTCCCGACCGTAGGACATCCATAGACATCCTGGGTTGGGGTGATTATATTGGGATGATGCCTGCAGCTACTGATGTGGTCCAGAATTTGCAGAGTTTTCTGTGCGAATTCCGCATCAGAATCACACCCCATTCATGCGAACCGCTGCAGGTGTGTATGTTAAATTAACGAACCGCTGCAGGTGTGTATGTTAAATTAACGACACCTTGAAATTGGTCCTCAAAAAGCGGTGCGATGTGCAGAATCGCATAGGTGTGAATACCCATGCGATCCGATTCTAGTGCGGACCAAAAAAAGGTTCCTGCACCTCTTTGGTGCAGGTGCGGTGCGATTAGAGCCGTACAAAATGTATGGCTCCAATCGCACCGTACACAAATCTCATGTGATTTTCACAGGAATGTAATGCGGTTCCTGTGCGAATCACATGCGATATACCGCACCCCATATATGTGAATCCGGGCTTAAAGAGAATCTGGGCAAAGTGACAGGTTCTCTCAATAGGTCACCCCACCACCACCCACCGACACTCACCTTCCTGTGCTCCCCTTCTCCATTCATCTGTGGGAGCCCCGGATCCAACCCCCTGTCTTTGTTGTGTCACAGATGGAAGCCAAAGTGGTCATGTCGAAACTACTGCAGAGGTTTGAATTCGAGTTGGTGGAGAGACAAAGCTTTGACATAGTAGACAACGCAACTCTTCGTCCCAAAGACGGTGTCATCTGCAGGCTGCGGCCCCCGAGCACAGAAATAATTCACACACTTTTATTCCATCATTGTGTCATTTAGTCCTTAGTAGCATTCATGTACAGATACATCCCACATGGAAGAAAAACATATTTGAAATATATTTTAAAAATATTCTTCCTAAATATATTGCCATATATTTGAAAATGCTACAATTTTGGTCATATTTCAATATATTTCAAAATCTATTTCAATAAATATATATACACTGCATTTTGAAATGCGTTTTTACTACAAAATATATGAAAAATATTTTTTAAAATACATTTCAAATATACTGTATGTCTTTAACCATTTGACGCCCGGCCTATGGCCAAATGGCGTCCGTAAAAATGTATTAGCTTTCCGGGAGGCCGCCATATGGCGTCCTCCCGCACATGCGCAGTTCGCGCACTTGCAGAGCCGCGCAGCGGCACGATCTGTCACCGGCCGTGTACCTCGGACAGGGTCTGAGTACCGGCCCCCTTTGCTGGTACCATGTGACCTGCTGTGACCAATCACAGCAGGTCACATGACAGTTGTATACAATGGAAGGCTTCATTCATGCCATCCATTGTATACTAGTGTCTAGCTGTGAATGGTCACAGCTAATCACATGCACATGTCATGTGATTAGCTGTGGCCAAATCAGAGCTAAGCTCAAAAAAAAAACCCCCTGAATGAATCTGTCATTCAGGTAAATGCTTGCTTATAGCAAAGTAATTCTTTGCTATAAGCAAATTGTGTAAAAAAAAATACTAATCACTTCCCCAAAGTAGTACAATGTTACTATGGTAACATTGTACTACTTTGGACAGTGAAATATGAAAAAAAATCTTTAAAAAAAAAAAAAAAAAAAAAAAAAAAAAAATATGTAATAAAAAATTTTAAAATAAAAAAAATAATAAAAAATATATATATATTTTTTTTTTTCATACTGTCACCAGTCAGTGTCCCTGATCACCGCCATGCCAGTTATATGATGATGACGCTGTACTGCACTGGTGACAGTATGTAAAAAAAAAATAGTGTAAATAAATTTTTTTATTTTTCCATTTTCTGAAAAATTATGACAAAAAAAATACAACTTCAAAAAACTCGCCATGCCTCTTCTGAAGTACATCGGACTGTCTACTCTGCAACAAGGGGTCATTTGGGGGATATCTGTACTGTTCTGACATTCTTGGACCTGAAGAAATTAGATTGGCCGTCAGTACTTCAGGATTGATCAATATTCAGATCTATACCATAGTTTGTGAACTCTATAACTTTCCTACAAACTAAATACATCCTAATTTGGGTTATTTTCACCAAAGACGTAGCAGAATACATCTCGGCCTAAATTTATGAAGAACAATTATTTATTTGCAAACTTTTATAACAGAAACAAAGAAAAATGTGGGGTTTTTTTTTTCAAATGTTCGGCCTTTTTTTTTTTTTAATTTAGCAAAAAATAAAAACCCCAGTGATGATTAAATACCACCAAAAGAAAGCTCTAGTTTGTGTGAAGAAAATGATAAAATTTTAGTTTGGGTATAATGTTGTATGACCGCGCAATTGTCATTCAAAGTGTGAGAGCGCTGAAACCTAAAAAAATGGCCTGGGCAGGAAGGTGTAAAATTGCTCGGTATTGAATTGGTTAAGAATACAAATCTACATTTTTGAAATGCATTTAAAAACATATGTAAAAATATATTTGCTGGGGCACCATGCTGTGTAAGTGCAATGAGTTTTAAATAAATAAGAAGATTTTAAAGTACTGCACCATGAGTTTTTTGTTCTCTTATATCCCGAGTGCTGGTCTGAACATCTGAGGAAGTGGTGGCTATTAATGAAGTGGATCTATATTGTCAAGCATTCCCTGCAGAGTATTGCTCCTTGAATATCGGATACTAGCTTCAGTGCTGTTTCATCATCCCGCAGAGTATTGCTCCCAGAGCAGAAAGCGCTTATGCTGATTTATAATTTGATCAGCATATTGCTCTGGTGAGTTTATTTAACCTCCCTGGCGGTATTCCCGAGTGTAGCTCGGGGTAAAATGTCAGTACCAAAAGCAGTAACCCGAGCTACACTCGGGCTTACCATGCGGCGCTGCATAGGGAGTCCCTGCAGCACTTACCTTGTCCTTCGCTCCCGCGATGTGTCCCCTGCAGCGTCCCCGGCCATCTCCTCCGGCTGATGCCGGCATCCGGCTTCTGTGTTCCGGTCCCTGTGACGTCGGGACGTACGGCCGCCGGCGGCGAGAAATTTGACAATTTAAAAAAAATTTTTTTCCAAACAAATTTTACATAGTAAAACATTGCTGTTTCAAACCATTTCACATACATTTTGTCCCGAGTGCTTTGTCCGGCGCCCTGCCTTCATTTTGTCTGTTCTTTCTGCCTGGAAACTGAGAAAAGTCCATGGCATCCAAAAAGCATCCCTTTAGGTCAAAAGCGGTTTTAGACCGGCTAGAGAACAGCGATAGCAAATCAGAACCACTTGCAGAATTGAGTGATAATGATTCGTGGGGGAAATTCATCATCAGACACTGAAAACGATTTTGCGACTTTGCTCAGCGATGTGCGAACTTGGCGCTCTATTTCAAATTTCAGTGTTTTTGGTTTGATTATATTATTGAATTAAATGTATTATTATTATCTTATTATTTTTTATGATTATTTATTAAATTATAATTTATGATTTCGTGTTTCAAATTTTATCATACCCGGGATGTTTAATAGACTCTTGTTCGGAAAGATTTCAGTGAGTTATTCCTAAAAATTACAGGCCTACAATAAAAAAAATACATATTTCCATGCAAAATAATGGTATCGCTTTCAGCACCAAAAATCTGAAATAATCATACCGCTAGGGAGGTTAATCTATCTGGTGGTGGATTGGCACATGGTGGAATTTGTTGGACACTATATAGTTTTTTTTTACTGCAACACAATATTTGGACTTTATATTCTATATCACATATATATATATAATATTTTTTGGACACTCATAATTAGCGCAACCTGTTTGGTTTATTAAAGCTGTACCAATGCCAGACAGAGGGGTCGCTATGTCTCTATTGACTGCGCTGGGAAGCTCCACAGAAGGCTCAGAGTTGCAGTACCATTGCCAAACAGAGGGCTCGCTGTGTCTTCATTGGCCGCGCCAGGAAGTTCCGTGGAAAGGCTGAGAGTTGCAGTACCACTGCCAGTCAAAGGGGTCGCTGTTTCCTCTTTGAACTTACTGTTGCGCTCAACATAAAAGCTCAGAGATGCATTACCACCACTAGACAGAGAGGTCGCTGTTTCCTCATTGGCCGTCCTGGGAAGCTCCGTGAGGTTCCGGGCTGCAGTACCATTGCCAGACAGTCGGGTCGCTGTGTCTTCCTTAGCCGTGCTGGGAAGCCCTATACAAGGGCTCAGAGCTGCAGTTACCACCTCCAGACAGTAGAGTCGCTGTCGCTTTCTCGACTTCTGTATCAATGCCAAGGACTGTCTTTCCAGCGGCGCGTTGGGCGGAGCGTCTCGCTGTCCGTACAGTCCTCCTCCTCCGGCGGCCATGGCACTTCCCGGCATTCCCTATGAGCAGCGGCTACTCATCATGGCGGAGCCGCGGGAGAAGGCGCTGCAGGATTACAGGAAGAAGCTGCTGGAACACAAAGAGATAGACGGCCGGCTGAAGGAGTGTGAGTGGCGGGGGAGGAGAAGGGAGAGGAGGCCGGAGGAGAGCCCCCGAGGGCAGAGCTTCTCACACCCGCACACAATCAGCTGTGTCATGCCGGCTCCTGGGGAGGACTAGGCCGCAGAGCCTGCCACTGGAGTCCCCGAGCCCAATCTCCTCCTCAGTCCTGACTGACTGCCTGCTATTTGGGGGGAGGGACAGCTGTTGCCCATAGCAACCAGCCCCATTGCAGCTGTTCTGAGTAACAATGGAGCAGTTGCCCATGGCAACCAGCCAGCTTATTGAATGAAACTGATTGCTGTGTGGAAGGGACCCTCCATTCTCTCCACCATCATGTCCATGTAATTCCCATTCCTCCAATGTGAGGGGTTTCCTGCACAGGTGTGCTTGCAGGAAGGGCAGATTAAAAAAAAAAAAAAAAAAAGTGCATGACTTTTTTTTTTTGTCTTCAAAGCTTTAATATCATGCGATTTGGCACACAATAGGAAGGTGTGCTGAGGGTCTGGTAAGAATTAAAGTGGAATTCTGGAATAGATTTAACTAATCATAACCACCTTACACCCAATTCCTCTCCTACATGTAAAAATCATCTGGTTTTTTTTTTTTGTTTTGTTTTTTGATGCTAGACAATTATTTAGAATGTTTTAAAGCAGAGGCCCTAGAGAATAAAATGGTGGGTGTTGCGTTTTTTTTTTTTGCCACAGTATTTGCTGTGACAAAAACTACATTTTTAAAAACAAAAGAAAAAAGGCGTTTGAAAAACCACCACGGTTTTCAAACTGTTTTTTTTTGCTAAAAATGTGTATTAGTGAATTTTTTGGCAGGAAAACAATATAATACCCAGTTGTTTGGTAAGATATAAAAGATAATGTGCCAAATATCGAACATGTCACATTTTGGAACCGTATGCTTGTGGAACGGCACCAAACTGCGGTGCCTAAAAATCCTCCTAGGTGACACTTTAACCACTTGTCTTCTGAAAGTTTTACCCCCCCCTTCATGACCAAGTCATTTTTTCCCCACACAGAGAGCTGTATTTTGGTGGTATTTGCTCACCACTGGGTTTTTGCTTTTTTTTTTTTTTTGCTCTATAAATGAAAAGAGATCGAATCTCTTGAAGGAGAAAAAATATTTCCTATAAAACCTATCAAAAATATAAAAAAATTTAAATTAATGTAACCGCAAGTGCGACATACATTTCATAAATGCACGCAAACCCACGCAAGTTTTACTTTGTTGAAAACAAATTGTAAACCGTGTGATGTGCTGAAACCGAGCATCACACCACCTGAGAAACCGCGGAGCGTGCTATTGGACATCTAGTTTGCACTGGCCACAGCATTCACCTCATCCCCATGTCTTCTCGCATCACTGCATGTGACGTCACCATCCCTCCTGGAAGATTCCTCAGGGAACAGAGAGCAGGAAAAATCAGCAAGAAGACATTCTAGTCTATTGCAAGAGTGTTCTCTCATGAGATTTGGGCTGCTTTACATTCCCCATCACAGAGCATGATGTCATACTCTCCTAGATACCATAAGTGGAAGATGGGGGTCAGGTAAGTGTAAATTAGCCTTTCCCAACGTTTTACCTCCGAGGATCACCTAAAATAATTTTCAGGAACTCCCTACTAAAACCAATTTCTCAGGGGTCAAGAGGAAGAATGCTCCTTACCTTGGGGCGGGCAGTGGGAAGAATTTTCCACTTACGTTGGGGGGGGGGGGGTTGTCAGTGGGAAGGATGCCCTTTAATGTGGGGGGTGTCAGTGGGAAGGATGCCCTTTAATGTGGGGGGTGTCAGTGGGAAGGATGCCCTTTAATGTGGGGGGTGTCAGTGGGAAGGATGCCCTTTAATGTGGGGGGTTTCAGTGGGAAGGATGCCCTTTAATGTGGGGGGTGTCAGTGGGAAAGAAGCCCTTTAATGTGGGGGGTGTCAGTGGGAAGGATGCCCCTTAATGGGGGGGGTGTCAGCAGTGGGATGGATGCCCCTTAATGGGGGGGGGGGGGGTTTCAGCAGTGGGAAGGATGCCCCTTAATGGGGGGGGGGGTTTCAGCAGTGGGAAGGATGCCCCTTAATGGGGGGGGGGGGGTTTAGCAGTGGGAAGGATGCCCCTTAATGGGGTGGGTTTCAGCAGTGGGAAGGATGCCCCTTAATGGGGGGGGGGGGTTTCAGCAGTGGGAAGGATGCCCCTTAATGGGGGGGGGGGGGGGGGTTTCAGCAGTGGGAAGGATGCCCCTTAATGGGGGGGGGTTTCAGCAGTGGGAAGGATGCCCCTAATGGGGGGGGGGGTTTCAGCAGTGGGAAGGATGCCCCTTAATGGGTGGGGGGGGTCAGCAGTGGGAAGGATGTCCCTTAATGGGGGGGGTTTCAGCAGTGGGAAGGATGCCCCTTAATGGGGGGGGTTCAGCAGTGGGAAGGATGCCCCTTAATGGGGGGGTTCAGTGAGAGGAATGCCCTCTTACATTGCGGGGGTCAGTGGCAAGAACGCCCCCTTACGTTTGGGGTCAGTAGGGAAAATACACCCTAATACCACCATAGTTTTACTTATAAGCACTGTCGCCCCTTACACTGCGGGGGGTCAGAGGCAAGAATGCCCCCTTAAATTGCGGGGGTCAGAGGCAAGAATGCCCCCTTAAATTGCGGGGGTCAGAGGCAAGAATGCCCCCTTAAATTGCGGGGGTCAGAGGCAAGAATGCCCCCTTAAATTGCGGGGGTCAGAGGCAAGAATGCCCCCTTAAATTGCGGGGGTCAGAGGCAAGAATGCCCCCTTAAATTGCGGGGGTCAGAGGCAAGAATGCCCCCTTAAATTGCGGGGGTCAGAGGCAAGAATGCCCCCTTAAATTGCGGGGGTCAGAGGCAAGAATGCCCCCTTACGTTTGGGGTCAGAGGCAAGAATGCCCCCTTACGTTTGGGGTCAGAGGCAAGAATGCCCCCTTACGTTTGGGGTCAGAGGCAAGAATGCCCCCTTACGTTTGGGGTCAGAGGCAAGAATGCCCCCTTACGTTTGGGGTCAGAGGCAAGAATGCCCCCTTACGTTTGGGGTCAGTAGGGAAAATACACCCTAATGCCATAGTTTTGCTTATAAGCACTGCTGCCCCTTACATTGGGGGGTCAGTGGGAAGAATGCCCCCTTACATTGGGAATCAGTGGAGAAAATGCACCCTAATGCAATCATTTTGCCTATAAGCACTTTCACCCACGTATTGGGGACAGCGTCTATGATAGAACCTTACACTGAGGTGTGTGATTTTTGTGTTTTTTAGTAGAAAAGATGGGTCAAATGTAATGCAGAATAGTCCAGCTGACAAGCTAGATTGATACATTTTGCGTGATTCGGTGGATATGCAGTTTTCAGGACAGATACCAGAGTGTGGCTGTAAATTTAAAGTCACTAATGGTGTACCACAAGGCTCAGTTCTAGGTCCTGTTCTATGTGATCTATATGTAAGTGATAAAACTAAAGGGTTGTTGGGTAAGGGGATGTCTTTGCTGATGGTACAAAGGTGTATAATAGGGTTGATATCCCTGGAGGTGTCTGTGACATGTATCATGATTTGGCATTGCTGGAAGATTGGTCAAAGAAGTGGAAATTGCAGTTCAATGTTTCTAAATGTAAAATAATTCACCTACGGAAAAAGAATCCCTTGAGAGAGTACAGGTTTTGGCCAGCACAACAGAGGAAAAAGATTTGGGGGAACTTATTTCAAATGATTGCAAAATGAGCAAACAGTGTGACCAGGCAGTGGGGAAAAGTGAATAGAATTCTAGGATGCATCACTAGAGGGCTCACCAGCAGGAGGAAGGAGGTCCTGATTCCTCTATATAGATCTTTATATCACTAGAGGGGTCTCCGGCAGGAGGGAAGAGGTCCTGATTCCCCTATATAGATCTTTATATCACTAGAGGGGTCACCAGCAGGAGGAAGGAGGTCCTGATTCCTCTATATAGATCATTATATCACTAGAGGGGTCACCGGCAGGAGGAAGGAGGTCCCGATTCCTCTGTATAGATCTTTATATTACTAGAGGGGTCACCAGCAGGAGGAAGGAGGTCCTGATTCCTCTATATAGATCTTTATATCACTAGAGGGATCACCAGGGGAGGAAGGAGGTCCTGATTCCTCTATATAGATCTTTATATCACTAGAGGGGTCACCAGCAGGAGGAAGGAGCTACTGATCCCTCTATATAGAGCTTTATATCACTAGAGGGGTCACCAGCAGGAGGAAGGAGGTCCTGATTCCCCTATATAGATCTTTATATCACTAGAGGGGTCACCAGCAGGAGGAAGGAGGTCCTGATTCCTCTATATAGATATTTATATTACTAGAGGGGTCTCCAGCAGGAGGAAGGAGCTACTGATCCCTCTATATAGATCTTTATATCCCTAGAGGGGTCACCGGCAGGAGGAGGGAGGTCCTGATTCCCTATATAGATCTTTGTCACTAGAGGGGTCACCAGATGGAGCAAGGAGGTCCTGATTCCTTATATAGATCTTTATATTACTAGAGGGATCACCGGCAGGAGGAAGGAGGTCCTGTTTCCTGTATATAGATCTTTGTCACTAGAGGGGTCACCAGCAGGAGAAGGAGATCCTGATTCCTCTATATAGATCTTTAGTTAGACCTCATTTAGAATACCGTGTCCAGTTCTGGAGACCTCACTTACAAAAAGATATTGATCAGACAGAACGAATCCAGAGACAGGTAACAAAAATGGAGAAAGGTCTGGGGGGGGATAAGACAGATCAGGAGAGACTTCAAGAATGTAATGTATACAGTCTGGAAGAAAGGGGAGACATGATTCAAACCTTTAAATACATCAAGGGGGTGAAAAGGGTTCAGGAGGGCATGGCTTCAATATGAAACCAAAATCCAGAACACGGAGACATAAACTAACTAGAGGAAAGTTAAAAACTAATCACAGAAATTATTTTTTTACAGAGAGTGTAGTTGATGCCTGGAATAAACTTCCAGCAGAGGTAGTGAGCCAGGCAACAGTAAATGGTGTCAAACATGCTTGGAACAAAGATGTATACTCCGACAAAAAAAAGTTAAAACAAAATATATAAACAAAAAACAGGCAGACTCGATGGACAACTTGGTCTTTTTTCTGCTGTAATTTTTCTATTTTTCAGATGTTGCTCTTTTGTAGCGTTTTAACAACCAGTAGAACCAGTGACCCTTCAGTTGTACAGCACTGTAGGGAATGGCAATGCAGGACATGCGCAGTCAGTTTGTGACGTGACTCGGCGGTTTGTAGCCACGTTTGGACAATCCCCTGAGGTTTCTTCTCTGCACGGTAGGGGGCTTGTTTTAGCCTCGTAATGCTGGCTGTACACCTGGCAGCTTGGTTCAGGTCTTCCTTAGTAAAGCATATTATGATGGAGAACCATAACACCCATCATACGTCTAGCTGGATTTACACTGAAGTAATAGTCATTTGTTGACTGGCTTTGGGCTTTTGTGGATGGCATGAAGTTGAAAAGCTTGAGATCATTCATTGACAGGTTTGTTTGAGCTGCTTCCAGTGGGTTTTGCGTTCACATTGGCTTGTTTGGGAACGCAAAACCTCCATGAGTCAAACAAGCCAGTGGACATAGGCCCTAAAGCTGCCCATATAACTAAGGATACGAGATGAATTTTTGTTTTCAGCAGAATTGGGAGACCGCAGTCTCCTGTCTATGATACAGCGACTGCATATGTCACTGCACAACCCCCCCCCCCCCCCCCCCCCCCAATCTTTATGTCTAAGCAGTAATTGTGGTGCTCGAGGGCAGTCGGATAAATCAGCCATGCCTTCCTGCATCTAGGGATCAATAATTGCTTTACCAACTAAAATTCTAGTATTTAAAATGACAAATTTATTTTTTTCCCACATTAATAAAACCTTTTGTTTTTCAGTAAGAGAGCAATTAAAAGAACTCACTAAGCAGTATGAAAAATCAGAAAATGACCTCAAGGCTCTGCAGAGTGTTGGACAGGTATGGTTTATTTGGTTTAACATTAATAAAAATCCAGTTAGGTCCTGTGTAGTCTGGGCTAGTTACTGTATCTCAAAGTCCTTATATCCTGTATCTGTTTAGCCGGCAGGCAATTTGAACATTAAAACATTAAAATTGTCTTCTGAACGAGCAATTTGTCCCGAGAGCCGCATCTCAAAGCAAACCCGCTATGGTGAAATGAATGGCAGTCTCAACCCGGATTCCTGCCAGGCAAAGCAACCAATGCGTTTTGCACCTCAGGATTAAGTTCTGATGGGTTGAGCGAAACGCGTTGGTAGCGAGACCTGGCAGGAGTCAGGGTTGAGACTTCCATTCACTTCACCATAGTGGGTTTGCTTTGATGTGCAAGTCTTTGGACACATTGCTTGTTTACTTTACATTTAGAGCTCTGTCGCTGGAAGGCACGAACATCAGTCGACACAGAATTGGTATCCTCTACAGCCTGAGCTGCACACATCCTTCTCTTTTTGGTTCGCATTAAAATTGTCTTCCTATTTACAACAAATAGGTTTCCTATTACATTTTCTTCTAAAGCTGGGCATACACAACCTCTTTGGTTGCCTGGTTTTGGGACAACCCAATCTGGAACATATATGGATGCTTTGAATTTGGGGACCTTAGGATCCATTGGTTAAGAATCACACAAACATATTGTAGCCTTTACATGGCCACATCATTCCTCATGGCTTTCTGTTATCTGTTGAGCTCAAAGGTCTTGGGCTTCTAATTCTCGGTTTTATTATTGGTGGAGTTGGCTAATGGTTACATGTGACTCTCTCCCCCATGATCAATGGTTACATGTGACTCTCTCCCCCCCATGATCAATGGTTACATGTGACTCTCTCCCCCATGATATGTGAAAATGACTTAAGCCAGTTGCACAAGGGAGTAATAATGTACTGATGTTTACACTCAGGATCTTGTTGGCAGAAAGATCCTGTAAAATGTTCCATAAAGATCTTGCGTAAACATCCATATAGGTATGTAAAGACAAGTAGATTTCCTCTTCGTTGCCAGTGTTGTAACATACTCATTTATGCCCTTGTAAACATGCTTGGGGTCCTTTTCATACGGGTGTTCTGGTGTTTTTTGTTTTTTTTTTTGTTTTTTTTTTCTTCAGTTCAGTCATGTTTTTTCAAAGAAAAAATGGATGAGTTTTCATCCGTTTTGGTTTCATCTGGTGTGTTTTTTTGTTTTTTCCCATCTGGTTTTGGTCCATTCCGTTTTTTATTTGCAGAAGAAAAATAGGGTTTTCTTCCGTTCAAAAAAACAGATGTTAATGGATGTGGACATTAACAGATGTAAAAAGATGTTCATCCATTTACATCTGCAAGTCCATAGATACATATAGGTCCGGTTTTCATCCGTAAAAAACGGACAGATGAAAAACAGACATACAATACGCACGTGTAAAAGGATCTTATAGACCTGTAAATTACTGCACCAAAGTTTTCTGTTTTACAGCTCTGTACTCATCACTGTATTATTGATTGGGTTGGGTTTTTTTTTTGTACTCCCCTGTGCTGCCTGCGTGCCACATTGACACACAATTAAAATTTTGCTGAGCTATTTCTACCACAGTGGCCCATCACTGTCGGTATGCTAGGAACTTGTGCTCTCAAATCACAAAACTCAGAGTCTACATAGTGACCTCAGAGAGAAATTTTGACCTTTTCTATATATGAGTAACAGGTGCAAAATATTTAAGGTTTTTTTTTTTGTTCTTTGAACCTTTTTTACATTTTTGCTACCTCTTTTCAGATTGTTGGTGAAGTTCTTAAACAGTTAACAGAAGAAAAATGTAAGTATTAATTTTTATAAAGAACTGAATGTGTATTTTGTTGCATGTGTTATAAAGTGAAGAAAAAAAAGCTTTTTAATTAAAGTGGTTTTAAACCTCAGACGTAAAATATAAACAAAGCATATCCCTCTATAGTGTGTAGATTGTCTTAGATGGTAAGCTCCTAGGATCAGGGCCCTCCTATCCCTCTTGTATTGAACTGTATTGTTGCTGTATTGTCTCCCGTTTATACTGTAAAGCGCTGAGCAAACTGTTGGTGCCATATAAATACTGTATAATAATGCTCTCAATTACGAGTACAAGTACCACTTTTGTCCTCTGTCAGTCACTCCTGATACGTTTTCCTGACACCAAGAGAAATATGGTGATAGAGGGCCCCCAGCAAATTGACAACCTCAGCTCTGTTCCTGTGAGCTGTGTGTGTTTGGGAAGGGGGGGGTTGTCTCTTCCCTCCCAATCAGCTCTCAGAGCTCTCCTCACTGAGCTCTGTAGGGTGTAATTTCAGCTCTCTGCCCCCCTTCTTTCTTTCCTTCTTTCTTTCCTTCTTTCTTTCCTTCTTTCTTTCCTTCTTTCTTTCCTTCTTTCTTTCCTTCTTTCTTTCCTTCTTTCTTTCCTTCTTTCTTTCCTTCTTTCTTTCCTTTCTTTCTTTCCTTCTTTCTTTCTTTCCTTTCTTTCTTTCCTTTTTTTTTTTTTCCCCTGAACTCAGAAAAGCTTTATAGTTTCTGGATTTTGAACAGATGTAGATTAGAGAAGACTGCAGATAAATAGGTACAACTTTAGGAGGATTTGTTTCACCTGAGTCCAGTCACTTCACTGGGTATATGTAAGGGATTACAACCACTTTAATGTCTTCGTTTTTTATCATGTGCTCTGTAGCTGCTCGCTCTCAGCCCTAAAAGCCAGAGTCCCTACTGATGACTGAGCAGGTTACCTGTCATGTTTGATTACTGTCTGCTCTGACAAAATGATTACATGCAGGTTGGAGGCTCCTTTGACAAAATGGAAAGACTACAGCATAAAGATGAACACACCCTACAAGCTGCAGGATTTATCTGCGGTGTCAGTGTTTTATTTTAATTATTTAACTTGTCATTGTCGGCCTGTAAGTGGTTTTTTTTTTTTTTTTTTTTTTTTTTTTTTTTTTTTAATGGTGTACCAAATACAAATCTGATGTCCCTAAAGGATATGTATACATTTATTTATTGGGTAACATTCATCATAAAGTTGTTGAGTTGATGTGCTAACACTGCAAAATTGTATCCTGAGCACCTAGTGACCCCATGAAAAGGTTAAGAGAAAGTAGATCTGAGTTGTAGACAGATCTCAGTGGGTTTAATTGCTGCCTAATTCCATACAAAATAATGCGTAGGCCCTAGCAAAGCATCTCTTATAGCTAATCTTTTACTAATAGTTTTTGTCATGGCATTCATTTTAAACTTTACCATGTTTCCTTCCAGTCATTGTCAAAGCAACAAATGGACCAAGATATGTTGTTGGCTGCCGTCGACAGGTAATTTTTCAGTGATGCATCGATATATTGGCCTCCGAAAAATATTGGTTGAAAAAAGGGTTATCAGCGTTTTGCTGATGGGGGGGGGGGAATGGTGCCAATTAATTAATTGACTTCAGTGCAAAAACTCCCCTATTTAGGTTTAGTTTTACATATAGTTCATTTTATTTTCTGTCCAAATTTTGTGTTCCTTTCAATGAGTTATTTTACGGTACTAGATTTGTATTTTTTATATTCATTTAAAATATATATATTATTTTTTTTTGTGTTTTTTTTCAAACTGTCCATTTTGGTTTCAGTTTTCGGCCAAGTGCATCCTGAATTTTCGGTCTTTGTTTCAGAATTTTCATATCTGTGCACCACTAGTAATTTTTCATACTTTATTTTTTATCAACCTTTTTATCTTGGTTCCATCATTGTGCAAGATGAACCTGATATATAATTGTTGTTATGCGTTTTTGTTTTGTTTTTTTGTAAGCCATTTTTAATTGAGGAACACATAACAGCGCTGAAAAACAAAGCTGTGCAAATATAAGATTAGTTGTAATTGTGTATATATATTTCATTTTTTTTTTTTTTTTTTTCCTGCAGCTTGACAAAAGCAAACTGAAACCTGGCACAAGAGTTGCTTTAGATATGACAACTCTCACAATTATGCGGTAAGTTTGTACATGAAATGCCTGTTGCGTGGTGTTTTTTTTTTTTTTTTTTTTTCCTAGGTTTGGAAAATTGCTGCAGCTGCAGAAGCTCTGTAGCTTTTTTATCAAGCAAACTTTTTTATTTAGAGGAACAAATATGCAGTCACATTTAACAATAAAAAGGAAAAAAAAACCCCATAGGACAAATGCATAATCACGTAAAACCGTGTACAAATTTTAGAGTCTCTGCCGCAGGCAAGGAAAAGGAGGACCAACATATGAGCAACCAACATAACAAGTTTACAAAGGATAATTATTCCACCACCTTCTCATCACAAGTAGATGTAGAATCGAGCCATCTATCCCAAACCTGGTGATACTTAACAGGGCATCCCTCTATGCATATAAATGACCTTTTTATATGGTAAAGTACTATTTACCGCAGCTATCCACTGTGAAAATGTAGGCGTCAGTGCCTAGCTCTGTAGCTTTTTATTTAAATAAGTGTATTTTATCCTCTTTGCCCTCTTTGACAGTACTGAGCAATCATTGCTGACGTCGTAGACTTTGAATGTTTATATGGGCACTGTAGACCTCTAGGATACAAACTTTGCTCCTAGGAGGTGTAATATAAATGTAAGAGTCGGGTAGTTGAGATGTGAGGTGATCTGTAGAATTGTAATGTAATTGTAGATAGTTAATTCTGTGTTATTAAAGATACCGTATATACTCGAGTATAAGCCGACCTGAATATAAGCCGAGGTACCTAATTTTACCACAAAAAAACTGGGGAAAACTATTGACTCGAGTATAAGCCGAGGGTGGGAAATGAGGCACCCCATTATTGGTGTCAGTGAAATAGTGCCCCATCTTTGGTGTCAGTGGGAGGAATAGTGCCCCATCATTGGTGTCAGTAGGAGGAATAGTGCCCCATCATTGGTGTCAGTGGGAGGAATAGTGCCCCATCATTGGTGTCAGTGGGAGGAATAGTGTCCCATCATTGGTGTCAGTGGGAGGAATAGTGTCCCATCATTGGTGTCAGTGGGGGGGAGGAATAGTATCCAATGATTGGTGTCAGTGGGGGGTGGAATAGTGCTCCATGATTGGTGTCAGTGGGGGGGGAGGAATAGTGTCCAATCGTTGGTGTCAGTGGGGGGGGGGGGGGGGGAGGAATAGTGTCCAATCGTTGGTGTCAGTGGGGGGGGGGGGGAGGAATAGTGCCCAATCGTTGGTGTCAGTGGGAGGGAGGGAAAGTGCCTCATCGTTGGTGTCAGTGGGAGGAATAATGCCCCATCATTGGTATCAGTGACACCAATGATGGGGCACTATTCCTCCCACTGACACTTGCTGACCCCTGTTCCAGTATGGTGCTGCTGCAGACAGCATATGTGGTTGCAGCAGCACCTAAGCACGGCACACTTACCTGCATCTCCTTCACTCGATTTTCGCGGGGCCGCTCAGCTCCGCGCCGGTGATTGGCCGCCTGTGTGCCTTTCCTGAGCTACAGTTCTGGCGGCCAATCACCGGTGAGAAGGCGGAGCCGAGCAGCCGCGCGAACATCCAGTGGACGAACCGAATGAAGGAGCAGCCGCGCTTCCTGGACTGGATCGTCGTGGGACCGGAGCCAGGTAAGAGACAGCAGCCCCCTGCCCACCCCTGTACTTAGTTTCCCTTCTGTTCTGTCCCCCCTGCTAGACATCTGCAGACGTTGACTCGAGTATAAGCCGAGGGGGCCGTTTTTCAGCACAAAAAATGTGCTGAAAAACTCGGCTTATACTCGAGTATATACGGTAAGTATTCAGTCATAGATATACTTATTATTACACAGTATTTATAAAGTGCCAACAGTTCCCTCAGCACTGTACATTACATATGTTCACCAATTATCATTTGAAAGGACAGAGTAAGCTGCTAGCCTAGAGTTGTCACCTAGATGCCAATAAAACTTTCACACCAGGGTGGACATGGATTTCTCACCACCTTGAATTCTAAAAGAAGAGCTCTGGCCATTTGGGCTTCAAGAAACCGCAGGGGACAGGGAGAAGTCTCCAAAATGTCTGTCAGCCTTGAATTATATCCACAGATCAGAGGAATCCATTTCATCTCTCATAAAAGCTAAAATATTAGTTGCAGAGAGATGAAAATAATTCCTTCTGATTGGACACATTTTAGACTACATATTCATCCCCAGGGTTGATTGGCCAAGGGCTAAAGTCTAGCGCCTCCATATTTTAATAAACTGAGGACCCTGAGATGTTCCATATGACTGGCAAATCGTGGACTTTCTTCTGACTTACTCCAGTCGCAGGATAAACCTTCGTAAAAAAAAGTTTTATTTTAAAGCAAAGAGCTAGTTGTGTGTCCTTCCTTCTTTTTTGTATTTTCTGTAACACTTTTTTCTTTTCTTTGTACATATTTTATGCACTGCCCACTTTCAGGATATTAAATCATAAAATGAATGTGACTTCTTGTGTATTTGCGCTCGGGCTCGTATCCCTGGAGAGACTGTATTGTCTATGTGCTTGATCTAAGTATATTGCCAATCTGTATGAAATTGTACTGCGTGTTGGCAGATTGTAAAGTAGCAGGTGTGTGTGTGTGGCACAGCAACTGTTGGGTCCACCACCCAACAAGCTATTATTGTTTTGTGGGGGAGTGTCGAAAAGTGAGTAACACCAGAGTTCTAACTGGAGGAATCATAGAAGGGTGTGCTAATTGATAGACTGCTCCCCAACCCTTAAGAGTGTATGTAAGATTCGTATCTATCTGTGTGTGGTCAGCCAGCTGGTTTGGAGTGGAGTCTCCCTTTAGTGGTGGCCAGAGGCGGTATGGGCTGTGAAGGGGTATCAGGGCCAGTCTTCTATGCTCACAGTAAAGCCCCCTCATTCCGTCTTACCGCTGTCACGGACCACACCTGTGTTAGCTATTCGCCATGGGCGGCGTGCGTTTTATCCGTGACAGGAGGATGGACTCTTAAGCTCCTGTCTGTGAATTTACTTTTCACTTGGAACCTGACTTCATATTTATTTTCCTTATTATGCAGTTATTTGCCCCGTGAAGTAGATCCTCTTGTGTATAACATGTCTCATGAGGATCCTGGGAACGTTTCCTATTCTGAAATCGGTGGGCTCTCAGAACAGATCCGGGAACTCAGAGAGGTGAGTGTGGGGTTTTTTTTTTTCCTCAGTCATCAGTACAGTTTACATAGTAGATTTGGTTATCCTGCTACTTGTTCTTCTGGTCTTGGTCTTCTTAAAAGTAGAATTGCAGCTGAACAGTTTTGTGGTTAAGGAAAAAAATGTGACCTGCTTTGTGTCACCTTTCTGTTCAGTAGACTGTGAATGAACATCATTGCACTGCTGATGTCCTTGCTATGAAGGTCCTACCTGGAACCTTAGGATGATGGCACTACACAGTTGGGGAGGCCTGTGCTCTTGTTTGCTGATGGTAAATAACACCTAGGTGCAGCAGTCCTACAGTTGCTCAGCTTTTTCAGTGTTGACAGTCTCTGCACCCATCCTTCCTATGCACCCATAATTGGCACAAAGCTGTCTCTGTGGGCTGCAGATGAGTGTTGGGGTCTACATCTGACAGGCTTGGGGCAGGGACTGCCCACTTGTTTGCAGCTTGTACTTTACTCAATGTTTATTGAGGGAGCAACCATTAGGATCCCTCCAGGCTGTGCTTATGGTAGGACTGTTGCAGTAAGTAGTTACTATTAGCAAACCTGCCCAGGGTTGCCTAATGCTATAATGCTAGGCCTTTAATTTGTACTATTCATCCATTAAGATTTCAGGCAATATGGTTGGACACAAACATTTTCTGGAGCTTAAAGTGGTGCTAAAGGTTTTTTTTTACCTTGATGAATTGTCTGCATTAAGGTAAAAAACCTTAGTTAAGACCGAGCTGCACTGTCTATAGATGCAGGCAGTGCAGCTCACGGTCAAGCTTGCATGAGTGCCCCGTAGGAAGCTGCTTCCCATGGGGGCATTTGCCAGAGAGCAGGAGCGCTGGTGGGGGACCCCAAAAAAAGAGGGGGGTATCGGGGCAGGTAAGTATAATACATTATTTAATGGGGGGGAAGGTTTAGAAGCACTTTAACTTTTTTTTTTTTTTTAATTTTGTCTTTTCACAGGTCATTGAACTTCCCCTCACAAACCCAGAGCTGTTTCAACGTGTGGGGATTATTCCTCCAAAGGGTTGCCTGCTTTATGGCCCACCAGGTTTGTATCTCTTTCCTCCTATAAGAATTATCAGCTGAAGACACTTGTGTGCCAGCCTTTTCCATACCATGCTTACTGCTCTGTCGGCCAGTCTACGTCAGGCTTTTATGCAAAACTGATAGATGCACATTGATCCTGAGACCATTTTTGCAGCATTTTACTTTTTTGCAAAAGGTGGACTTGGCTTTTAGGCCTATTGGTTGATTGTTAAATTCCTTGCATGATATCGGTTTAACCATTTCCTTGTTTCTTGAAGGTACTGGAAAAAACACTCTTGGCAAGGGCTGTTGCCAGTCAGTTGGATTGCAATTTTCTAAAGGTAATCTTTTTATTGCACCTGAATAGGATTTGATAGATCCACTTTCTTTCATGAAATTTTTGTACTGAGGAGCTATGGAAGGTTCTATTTCTAGCTGACTCTTTCTAAAATTTACTAGTTTTACTTTCCTTTTTTGATCCTGTGTATTCAGAACAGGGCTAATGTCCCTGAACCAGTTTTCAGATTGGGAGTGCTGGCTGCAGTGTGACCTAAGCTGCTTACCTACCTGTTTTGGGTCAAATGTAGTAAAGCCAGGCAACTATTTTCCCAAGGTGGGTGACAATGACGCTCTGCATGTTTTCCCCAGTACAGGTTTCCTTTTAAAGAGAATCCTTTCACTAGAAAAAAATGAATGTAAAGGTGGTAGTAACCAAAAAGATCTCATTGCCCATACACTTTTATGGGCATCAGGGAATGCAGAATATGTAAGTAGATTAAAGCTCCGCTTGGAGGACCTATGCTTGAAATCTAAAGTTTGGCTGTCTGAGATAGAGATATATATATATATATATATATATATATATATATATTTATTTATATATTTTTTTTTTTAGCAACGTATAATGTGCCAAAGTAATCACTAAAAATATGTCCCTCCTTTAGGACTCATTCACACCATGGTGCAGAGCCATCGGATTTTTTTTCTGTAAGGGCACAACAAAATCAATTGTTCTCTGTGCTCTGTTTACACCACAACAGGTGTATCACATGCAGATTTTTTTTTCTGCGCAGGAATTTGCAACATGTATAAAACTCTAATTGTGCATGAAAACTGATGCCTCTGCAATTGAAATCTGCATGTCAGTTTGTCTATTTTTCTGCACGTATGTTGTGAATGAGGCCTTAAGTATAAAATTCTTGATTGCCCTATAAATATTTCCCGGAAAAAAAAGAGAAATATTGGTGTGTACACCTGTAAGGCAGACAAGGGCGCACGCTCATCGTGCATTACCATGGTACACCACGTATTGAATAGACAAATGGATATATACTCACAAACCAACGACGATAAAGCAGAATATGTGGTCTGCAATAACAGCCACACAAATGCTGTGCCCTAAATAGGGATAAGCTACGCGCATTTCAGGAGAGCTCTGAGGAAGGGGGTTCATCTCCCGAAACGCGTTAGTTTATCCCTATTTAGGGCACAGCATTTGTGTGGCTGTTATTGCAGACCACATATTTTGCCTTTTATCTTTGCTGGTTTGTGAGTATATATCCATTTGTCTATTCAATACGTGGGGTACCACGGTAATGCACAATGAGAGTGCGCCCTTGTCTGCTTTTTTTTTCACCAGTGTTCAGATTTCCCAATCTTTGAAGGGCAGCACCTCTTCTTCGTCTGGCATTTTGAATTTCTTTTAGTCTGCATGAAGATTGGAGCGCTGGTTTTGTTTGTCTTTTGACCTGTAAGGCAAGACTGTTACAGTTTTTGGTGTTTTTTTTTTTTTTTTTTTTTTGTTTTTTTTTTCTTTGTTTTTTTTATCTTCTGCATTGTATTTTTTGCTTCTGTAGTTTTGGCTTGTTTTACCCTGTTTTCCCTTATTTTGCCAGGTTGTATCCAGCTCTATTGTAGACAAATACATTGGTGAAAGCGCTCGCCTTATTAGAGAAATGTTCAATTATGCCAGAGACCATCAACCGTGTATCATTTTCATGGATGAAATTGATGCCATAGGTAAGGCACAAGACGTTATGGTCTAATAAATCTATGAATGTGTGATTTGGGATCCCTTAGAAAGTAGTAATTCTGTTTTCTTTGACTTTATGGGAGAATCTTGTTTAAATGTTAAGGACCAGACGGCCAGTGTTTTGGTGAACTCCTATTGGTGCCTGAAGAAGGTCCACTGTGCTTCATTTGAACTCTGTGTAATAAATTAGTCTTGTTTTTGCAAGTTCCTTGCCTGACGGGTTATAGTAGTATGCCAGTGCCCTCTTTCATTGTTTGGCAGTAAGGCTTTGTTCACACCATACATGCAGAAAAACTGATGGAAACTGACATGCAGATTTCACTTGCAGAGAGAAGTTTTATACATGTTGCAGATTTCTGTTCAGAAAAAAAAATCTGCTTGTGATACTAGTGTTGCGAATAGGGCACATAGAGAACAATTGTCTGTGTCCTTGCAGGATGCATGCAGAAACACTGACGCCTGTACCCTGGTGTGAATAAGCACTTTAAACAAGTGGAACTTTACCCATAACAAGTTGATAAAAGCAAGGGACATACATTCCACATTAATAACTATGCTACCAAAATTAGTACATGCTGTAATTTGCCTCCAGCATTGCTCATGTTTGCTCTTGCTGGAGGCTTCCATTTAACCCTAGGTTCACATCTATGCGGGTGGTGCCACTGCGGATCCGCATGAAAATCCGTGCAGCTGCACCACCCGCACAGTGGAATGCTGACCCGTGGGCAGGTGCCATTAGTTCTAATGGCACGCCACCCGCACTGGAAAACACAACCGTACTGGGAACCGAGGTTCCCGTGCGGGCTGCGTTTTCAAAGGAATTGCAGGGACTTCTTCCATGTGTGGCATAGGAGTCCATTCAAATGAATGGGCTCTCATGCCCGTGCAAAATGTGCCCTGCATGCCCGCATATATGTGAACCGGGGGTTACATGCCTCTGTTCCAATGAGCTGTCGATAAGGAAGAAAACAGACACTCTTGTGCTCTATGACCCGACCAGGGGTAGATAGATGGAACCAGGACTTGAAAGTTTCTACCACCAGTGCATTTGGGGTTGTGCAGCTCCAAACAAGGCTGGGGAAGCCCGACCAATACTATGAAGCGAAAACCAACAGCACACAGACCTTGCGCATCACCTCAGTAAGCCAAAAATTTTATATATATATATATATATATATATATATATATATATATATATATATATATATATATAGAGCGAAGAGCACTCATGAAGAAGGGATGCCCTTCGAAACGCATCAGCTGTATCCTGTGTGTCCACTCCTATGATAGGACTTGCCCAGGCTGCTTCAATCCTTAGTCCCCTGGAGGACATAAATGCATGATATTGTTCGTCGTTTGTGAGTATTATTCTATATCTAATAAAACATTTTTTGCTTACTGAGGTAATGCGTAAAGTCTGTGTGCTTTTTGTTTGTTTTCGCTTCACAATGAGCTGTCGTCCATGACTGGACTGGTGCTAGTATCTTCTTCCTAACTTCCTCCCAATGTAGGGTCTTCTGCTACTTCCATTGGTCAGCACAGGATGCCTTCACTTTCGCACATGTGCAGAAGTTCATAAGTTTTCAGCACACAGTAACTGCTAAGAATGCACCTTGAGCTGCGCATGCACAGTTCCGTGTATATTCACAGTGGCTAAATGGTTAGCACTTCTGCCTGGCAGCACTGGAGTTGTCGGTTCAAATCCTAACCACGGCACCACGTGCCTGGAGTTTGCATGTTCTCCATGCCTGCGTGGGTTTCCTCCACATGCTCCGGTTTCCAAAAACACGCTGGTAGGTTAATTGGATCCTGTCTAAATTGGCCCTGGTATGTGTATGTATGAACGTAAGTTAAGGACCTTTTTTTTAGATTGTACGCTCCTTGAGGGTTAGGGACTGATGTGAATGTGTTATTATATATGTAAAGCGCTGCATAAATTGTCAGCACTATATAAAGTAGCTGTAATAAAATATTCTTGAGGAGATTGCTATCAGGAAGTTAACTTTGTGTCTCTTCTGTAATAAAAAAAAAAGCGCCCACAGGCTTGTAATAAGATCTCGCTTAATGTAATTTTTTTGTTTTTTTTCCCCCTTTAGAGAGGGTACTTACCCGTGCACTATATATAATGTATCTTTTGACTGAAATATAACTGTTCAATAATAACCTTGGCCTGTTTCTTTTGCTTCCCCTTGTAAGGTGGTCGGCGGTTTTCAGAAGGTACTTCTGCTGACCGAGAAATTCAGAGAACTCTAATGGAGGTATGTTGCTGGAGCAGTAACCAGCCAGACCAATCTCAGCTAGTAAATTATTTTGGCTTAAGTGCCTTTAAAGGAAATGTGCCTATTCTCCATAGCAACTAGTCAGACCTTTTCAAACCTTGTATTAAACATGGAAATTTTTGTTTTTTTTACTAGTTGTTAAATCAGATGGACGGATTTGATACTCTGCATAGAGTAAAAATGATAATGGCCACCAACAGACCAGACACTTTGGACCCAGCCTTACTACGCCCTGGAAGACTTGATCGCAAAATACGTATGTCTCTCTACATGGGTGATGGGTTCTTCATTCAATTTTTCATTTCCCTTTGGTCATAATTTTGGTGCATAATTATTTTTTTTTTTTTTTTTCCAGATATTGAACTGCCAAATGAGCAAGCCAGGTTAGATATTTTGAAGATCCATGCTGGCCCTATTACCAAACATGGTGAAATAGGTAAAATAAACTTGTCAGCTGTCACTGTTTTTGTACCAATTTGTCCCTTTTTGTACACATAGATGTTCTAGTATCTGAAATCACTTTAGTTCTATAGTAACGTGGTTTTAAAACCTCCACATGTTAAAGGTGCTGACTTTGCAGACTAAAACCTTGCAAAATGTCAAGAACATTCACTTGAACATTGCTTCATGGGTGGATTAGGCTGCTGAGTCAAAGAGAACAGGAAATGGTGTCACCCCCTCCCCTGGCAGCGCATGGAAGGGGAGGACCCTGCTGCCATTTATGTAGGCCTGTAGAGAATTAAAGGAAGTAAGCTATCCAGTAGGGTTAGTCTGTTGCGGTGGGCCTTTATTGAAGGAATTACAGCATTGAGATTGGGTTTTCCCTCAGTTCTAATTAACAAGCAGGTCTCTCCTTGCATAGCTCTTTGATAGTGCTGGATATGAAAGTTCTAATATCCTGTTCAGTGCATGCTGGCACATGTCATTTAATCATAAAGAGGTCTGTCTCTCATGCAAGATCTGGTTTTTTTTTGTTTTTTTTTTTAATTTATTTTGCTTTTGAACTTCAGATTCAAAATATTTAAATGAAAATTGAATGTTTACTGTCAATGTTGAAAGCACAACTAGAATATGGTCAAAAGCAAAGCAGACTAACCCACTAGCTGCAATGTACATGTTAGACTTTTTTTCTCACCTATTTGCCTTGAAGCACCTGAGTGGGGGAACAGTCTGCAGGTATGGCACAAATGTGCATGTTCCCGTTTATGTAGGATCTTTGGGGTAGGGGGGGTCTAGTGTAGTGAACACCAGCTATTCTTGAATATTAGATTAATTTAAGCAGCGTTGTTATAGACATACATACTTAATGCTGACCTAGTGGCTTTTTTCTTTTCATTTTTTTTTTTTTTTTTGTAGATTATGAAGCCATTGTGAAGCTTTCAGATGGATTTAATGGAGCAGATCTGAGAAATGTCTGCACTGAAGCTGGTAAGGGGGGTGATTCATATTGTCAACGATGTCTCTCATCTTCCTGAACTCTGCAGCATTTTTAATGTAAGATTAGTTTGTCCGTGTTGAACATTTGAATCTAAATGTGCTGCTTAGGATTCATGTACACGGGACGTTTGGAAAACTCTTCTGAACAATGGAAACGGCTGAAAAACGTTTGCATACTGTGTTTAGAAGCATTTTTTTAAGAACCTCAGACCTTCCAGGATGCACTGAAAAACAGTAAAAAAAAAATTAACTATTTCAGTCACTTTGAGAGAAATAGAGAGCGCAGAAGCAGAGAGAGCAGTATGTGTTGAGATGACCTGTCTTTTCTGGTTGTATTCACTATGGATCCCATCATGAGCATAATGCGGCACGTTCTACCATTTTTTTTTTTTTAATTTTTTTTTTTCCTTCACGCAAAACCTGGAACTGATTGCGCTGGTGTACCGGTTCCATTTGAATACATGGAAAAGCTTTGCATGCTTTTCTGGTGATGAAAAAAGGCTCTGGACATGGCACAGTTAAAAACGCTTCTAAACTAAAACGCTTATAAATGCGGTTAGCTGCGTTTACAAGCGTTTGGCATTTGAAACGCTGATAAATATCTACTCCTGAATGCAAGTCTGGTGCATTAAAAAAAATGACTGTGTAGATGGACACATAGGAAAACCTTAGGGAGAAACTGGCTGCTAAAAAAAAAAAAAAAAAAAAAAAAAAAACAGAAAAGCTGAACGCAAGTTTATCAACTGCAGTGTACATGAACCCTTAAAGTAGGCAAAACTGCTCTTGTAATTTTGGATAGTAAAAAGGGGGGGGTGGGTGTTACAATCCCTGTGTGTAAAAATAATTTTAAAAATCTTACTCCCCAAACCCCCAACCCCCCCCCCCCCCATGTCTCATAGAGGAGGCTTCTCTTCTTGTCCCGTAGCCAAAACTGGAAATGTGTGGGAATCCCAGGGTGTCACAAAAACTGTTTTTTTTATTTTTTTTTTTTTTTTTTTTTTTTTGTGTGTGTTTTTTACTTTCACTTTTGATGGTAGCGGTAGACAGGTTGGATCTCCCTAACAAGCAAACAACTTTGGAAAACGCAGCCCGCGCAGGAACCTCAGTTCCCAGTATAGTTGCGTTCTCCAGTGTGGGCGGTGTGCGATTAGAACTAATGGCCCCCGCAGGTCTGAATTTCCCTGTGCGGGTGGTGCGGCTGCATGGATTTTTGTGCGGATCCGCATTGGCACCACCTGCATAGATGTGAAACGGGGGTGAATCTTCCACCTTCCTTTTGTAAGAATACGTGGTGATCTTGCCATGAAGGTCCTTGTTCAGGCACTTCTGATATATGGTGACAACAGTCTGCACTTGCCTGCCAGTTGTACTCTGCCTTGTCACCCTGTCAGAGGCTTTTGATGAAGAGTAGCAAGTAGCTATTTTGACATGTGGCCCACTGTTGTCACCACCAGAAAATGCACCCTGAGAAATGCCATGCAGCCATCGCCAGAGTGCACAGAGACATGAGGTGGTTGCAAAGGGGCTGAAAGATCAGCAACCTAAGATATAACAAAGAATGGAAAAGGCAAAAACAAATATTAAATATTTTTATTGCCAAAAAAAGTTTGATACACAGTGCTTTAGCTACCTAAAATGTGTGTTTTTGTTTTTTTTTTTTCTTTTTTGGTTTTTTGTTTCAGGAGTTGTAATCTATTCTTTTTATAATCATTATTGCAGGTATGTTTGCAATTCGGGCAGATCGTGACTTTGTCGTCCAGGAAGACTTCATGAAGGCAGTCCGAAAAGTTGCGGATTCTAAGAAGCTGGAGTCTAAACTAGATTACAAACCTGTTTAATGTAGATAATGGATGCATGGGTGATCTATGTGTTTTCTGTTAGAGGTTCTGTTGTTCCTCTAGGGTATGGTTGTTATTAAAAGTACATACAACATCGTCAGAATTAGTAGCTTGGTAATTTCAGAAGGGAGGGGGTGGGGGGGATTTATCTGCTACAAAAGGGGGTCATGTATTTTCACAAACACTCTTGTTTGTGATTCCCTGCATAGAAAAGATTTGTTTTACAAAAATATTTATTGTGTGAACAAGTGAGAGGAGCCGGGGGCAATAATTGAAGCAACAGGACAGATTTTAAGAAAGTTACGGTGTTTCGTAAGAAGTATTTTATATTAACCAACTTTTTTTGTCTTTTCTTTACAAGGTAAATAAACATTGTAAAAATTGGGTGTTTTCATTTCTCCAAGTTAATGAGTCACACCCTAATGATACTTCATGATCCTAATGTAAATTCCAGTTTTGTTACCGGAATTTTTAAAGAACCAAAGCAAAGATGGGGCGCAGAGCAACTGTGATGTTGTAGATTATGTGGCAAAGAAAGTACATAAAGGGATGTTAGCATATTTTAAGCAAATTGATGCAGATTGCCATGAATACCAAGCCTCCAGAATGTATTCCTGGTCTTTTTTTTTTTCTGCTTTTATTTGCACAAATTGGTGAAAGAAAGTAAAATATATGTGTACGGGAGCTGAAATATGTAACAACATGTTCCAAATGTGAACTTGGCCTTTAACTACTGACCCACAAGTATGCCTGTAAGGACGTCTTAATTTGCCTGCCTTTCCCAAACATTGACTGCATTAGTGTTCATTTTTCATGAACATTTTTAGTAAGTACAGTGGTACAACCATGGATTCCCCCATACTGTGAGAACTTGAGCTCTGAGAAAATAATCCATATATACGAAAACAGGCAGATATCTGGAATTAGGGAGATTTCCTACTAATTTTCATAAATTGACAATTTGAGTTCTTAATGTGTGCTAATTTGAAGATGAAATAAAAAGCAAAAATATATATTAATCACTTGATCTCCAGAGGATTTACCCCCCCTTAATGACCAGGCCTCTTTTTGCTACTCGGCGCTGTACTAATTCAACTGATCATTGTGCGGTCATGCAATGCTGCACCCAAAAGAAATTTACGTCCTTGTTTTCACACAAATAGAGCTTTCTTTCGGTGGTATTTGATCACCTGTGCGCTTTTTTTATTTTTCACGCTATAAACAAAAAAAGGCCAAAAATTTTGAAGAAAAAACGATATTTTTTTTTACTTTTAGCTATAAAAAATGTATAGTAAACTCAAAGTTGATGATAAATTTAGGCCAAAATGTATTCTGCTCCATGTTTTTGGTAAAAAAAAAAAAAATCCCAATAAGTGTATATTGATTGCTTTGTGTGAAAGTTATAGCGTCTACAACCTATGGTATAGATACTGCAATTTACACCATTTTTTTGCTATACAGCGCTGCACTAGTTTAACGGACAATTTCGCGGACATGCAATATGGTACATAAATGAAATTTACTTCCCCCCCCCCCCCCCCCCCCCCCCCCCCACAAAACTGAGCTTTCTTTCAGTGGTATTTGATCGCCTGTGCAGTTTTTATTTTTTGCGCTATAAAAAAAAAAGGCTGCAAATTTCGAGGGAAAAAAAAAACAATATTTTGGACTTTTTGCTATAAAACGTGTCCAGTAAAAAAAAAAAAAAATTAAAAATCAAATTTAGTCATAAACTTCTGCCAAAATGCATTCTGCGACATGTCTTTGCTAAAAAAAAAAAACCCAATACGTGTGAATTGGTTTACGTGAAAGTTATAGTGTTTACAAATGGCGGGAAAGATACTGGGATTTTTAGTTTTTGTTTTAATACTAATAATGGCGGCGATCAGCGACTTATGGCGGGACTGCGGCGGTCATTCTGGCATTGGGGGGTACTGACTTGGGGTCACTGACATCCCCAGTGACACCAATACAGTGATCAGTGCAAAAAAAAAAAAACACTGACACTGTACTAATGGCACTGGGGAGGAAGGGGTTAACTGTGTGGGGGAGTGTTTTACTAGGGGGTGGGGGTGTGTACTGCAGGAACACTGCTGATCGGGAGAGAGAAACCCTTCTGTCCCGATCAGCGTGTCCTGGAGATGTCAGGGAACTGACAGAAAGCACAGCTACTGCGGCTGTGCTCTCTGTCAGCAATTGCCGCCGATCGCCGGGACATAGCTGGTAACCGGCTGTGACCCGGCGACTGACATCCGTGGCTGTGATCAGTGGGACAGGTAGGGCGGCGGCGCGCCTTGCGTGCGCCCCCTACCTGTTTACAAAATGCACATTTTAAAACGTGCTTTTGCCCAGCTGTGCCGCCCTGCCGCCGTATTTATACAGTGGCTGGGCGGCATGTGGTTAATAAAATAGTCTTTGTTCGGAAACCATAAAAATTAGAATATAAAGAACAAAATGGCTTCCAGCATGCCCATGTTTCGTTATGTACAGATGAGTTCAGATCTTCCAGTTGGTGAGCACAGAATAGTGCTAGACTCCATACAATGGTGAGAGTGAGTGCAGCTGCTTAGCGACAGGAAAAGTGTCATTTGCAGGATTACCAAGTGAGGAAAAAAAAAAAAGCATGCAGGGAGGACCCATGCCTGCTTTGTATTTGTTGTTCCCTTTCTGATGGAAATGCTGTAAAATCTGAGTTACCAGTGAAAGAATATGCCACTCAAAACAAACAAGGTTGATGATACTGCTGGGAAGTTTGCAGAGGTTCTTGGTCCCAAGGTTTGGACTGACCTGATGACATGTCATGGGAAGCTCTTAAAACTGACAGCACCTGAAGCTCAGGAAAAATAGTTCTAAATCACCCTATTTGGGGTATTAACTGTAATGTTGCTTAGAATGAAGAATCTGCTGTCAACCTTTCAGAGGGTTGAAAACTATATGCTCGATGCGCTCTCTCCTATCTAGGTGTCAAACACAAGGCCTGCTGGCTCCAACCCCCCATCTCCCCCCCCCCCCCCCATTGTCACACTAGTCAGCATCAGGGAGGAGATTAGAACTCTGCCAAATCCTGCACCTCTCAGTGCAGATGCAGCACCCCCTCATCTCTGCCTCCCCTCGTCTCACCATTCAGCAGACTCTGGTAACTGACTGTAACTCAAAGGAGTGGTCTGGTCTTAGGAATCTATTTAAATAAAATTAACATAGCCAACTACCTAGAGGATCTGTATGTACATTTCTGTGTGACTTAAGCAAAAACTTCATGAGATACAATGCTCAATAATTCAAGAGGTGATTAGAAAATACATGTAACCATTCATTATATACAATTACTCCTTTTTCCTAGAATTGTTACATTGTATCTCTTGTTACAAAGACATATTTACAGGGGTTAGACAAAAAATGGAAACACTGATTTGCAGGTGTGAAAGTGACAACATGTTTCACCTTGGAAGTTTTTGTATGTTGGGTTTACTTTGTAGAACGTATTTATTTCAGGTACTTATATAGCGCTGTCAATTTACGCAGCACTTTACATATATATTGTACATTCACATCAGTCCCTAATGCTCAAGGGGTGTACAATCTAAGGTCCCTAACTCACATTCATACATATACAGTCGGGTCCATAAATATTGGGACATTGACACAATTCTAACATTTGTGGCTCTATACACCACCACAATGGATTTGAAATGAAACAAACAAGATGTGCTTTAACTGAAGACTGTCAGCTTTAATTTGAGGGTATTTACATCCAAATCAGGTGAACGATGTAGGAATTACAACAGTTTGCATATGTGCCTCCCACTTGTTAAGGGACCAAAAGTAATGGGACAGAATAATAATCATAAATCAAACTTTCACTTTTTAGTACTTGGTTGCAAATCCTTTGCAGTCAATTACAGCCTGAAGTCTGGAACGCATAGACCTCACCAGACGCTGGGTTTCATCCCTGGTGATGCTCTGCCAGGCCTCTACTGCAACTGTCTTCAGTTCCTGCTTGTTTCCTGGGGCATTTTCCCTTCAGTTTTGTCTTCAGCAAGTAAAATGCATGCTCAATCGGATTCAGGTCAGGTGATTGACTTGGCCATTGCATAACATTCCACTTCTTTCCCTTAAAAAACTCTTTGGTTGCTTTTGCAGTCTGCTTTGGGTCATTGTCCATCTGCACTGTGAAGCGTCCAATGAGTTGTGAAGCATTTGGATGAATATGAGCAGATAATATTCCCGAAACACTTCAGAATTCATCCGCCTGCTTTTGTCAGCAGTCACATCATCAATAAATACAAGAGAACCAGTTCCATTGGCAGCCATACATGCCCACGCCATGACACTACTACCACCACCATGCTTCACTGATGAGGTGGTATGCTTAGGATCATGAGCAGTTCCTTTCCTTCTCCATACTCTTCTCTTCCCATCACTCTGGTACAAGTTGATCTTGGTCTCATCTGTCCATAGGATGTTGTTCCAGAACTGTGAAGGCTTTTTTAGATGTCGTTTGGCAAACTCTAATCTGGCCTTCCTGTTTTTGAGGCTCACCAATGGTTTCCATCTTGTGGTGAACCCTCTGTATTCACTCTGGTGAAGTCTTCTCTTGATTGGTGACTTTGACATACAGACACCTACCTCCTGGAGAGTGTTCTTGATCTGGACAACTGTTGTGAAGGGTGTTTTCTTCACCAGGGAAAGAATTCTTCGGTCATCCACCACAGTTGTTTTCCATGGTCTTCCGGGTCTTTTGGTGTTGCTGAGCTCACCGGTGCGTTCCTTCTTTTTAAGAATGTTCCAAACAGTTGTTTTGGCCACGCCTAATATTTTTGCTATCTCTCTGATGGGTTTGTTTTGTTTTTTCAGCCTAATGATGGCTTGCTTCATTGATAGTGACAGCTCTTTGGATCTCATCTTGAGAGTTGACAGCAACAGATTCCAAATGCAAATAGCACACTTGAAATGAACTCTGGACCTTTTATCTGCTCATTGTAATTGGGATAATGAGGGAATAA